GGGTATCCTGTTCACCAGGCATAGAAAATTCCTTTACCCTCAAGAAATCAATATGGGGAATTGGATCTGTAAAATATACGATAGTGTGAAAATTTTAGGGGTTACCTTTGATAAAAAGATGACCTTCCGGGTGCACGTTGAAGAGGTGATCAAAAAATGTGAAACAGGTAAGAATATCATTAGAAGATTGGTTGGAACTGACTGGGGAGCCCACCCAAGTTCATGTTTAGCTATCTACAAATCCATAATTAGATCACATATTGATTATGGATACTTCATTTATGGAGGAATCTCAACCAATATGCAAGGATTACTAGATAAAGCTCAACTTTCGACTGTGCTTGGGAGCTATGAGGTCAACGCCTCGCATTGCCATTTTAGCGGAAGCCGGGGAAGCCCCATTAAACATTAGGAAACGAATACTAACTAATAGATTTCTAATTAAAAAATTCAACTCGGATTCTGAACGAATCCCGAAACAATTGGAACATTTAGCTGTTTTACATTTTAGGGTAAACTATTGGAAAAATAGACCGACACCTCCATTAATAACTGGATTTTATAATTTGAAACCTCTAGAAGATCGAATAATTACAAATAAAAAACTACCGTATCATAGTCATTCTTGGAATTACTCATTTCCCAAGAAATATATAGTCTTGAATGATTTCAATTATATGACTCATCATTCCAATAAAAGTATAATAAACAGGGAGTTTGAGAATTGGTTAGACACGAAATGGAAAGATTTCACTGTTATCTACACTGACGGTTCCAAGTTAGAAAATAAAGTGGGGTGTGCTGTCTATGTACCTAATAGAGAGAAAAATTTACAATTTAATTTACCGGATTTTGCCTCAGTCTTTTCGGCAGAACTTACAGGTATCAATGCTGCTTTAGACTTTGTTATACAAGAAAAGATTCCAAAAACCTTAATCCTAACAGATAGTAAATCCGCACTTCTGGCTCTAAACCATCCTAAAGAAAATTGCAATGATTTAATTTTTGACACCATCCATAAAATAGAAAGCGTCTTAGAAAATAAAAACACGATTAAATTAGTATGGATAAAAGTGCATTCCAATATTCATGGAAACGAATATGTGGATGGTCTTGCAAAAGAAGCCTGTTTATCAAATTTTCCTTCAAGAAAGGCTCCTGCGTCTGACTTAAAAAGCTGGGTAAGGAAACAAGGATTAAGGTTATGGCAAAACGAATATGATATGGAAGGCAGAAAAGGAACTTTATTTAAATTTTGCAAACCAAAAGTGTCTTTTAGTACATGGTTTGCCAAATCTAGGTTGAACAGAGACGAAATAACCGTTATCAATCGTATTAGATCGGCCCACACATTCTGCAAATCTCATCTTTTTAGAATTGGCATGGCAGAAGATCCCTTCTGTTCTTGCGGATTGGAAATTCACAATCTTGACCACATCTTTTGGAAGTGCAAGCTCTATGCTAATCAAAGAACATCCTTACTACAAGAACTGAATAAATATAACTTCATTTTTCCTATTAACACTACAATAGCCTTTTCTACTAATGATGAAAATATATATAAAATTTTTCTGTTTTTCTTAAAAAAATGTAACATTAAAATATAGTTCTAAAAATAAAATATTAGTTATTAAGGTTTTAAGAATTAAGTCGCAATATTATGTTGTGAATAATTTGTAAAATATGTATTTTTCTGGTATTTGTAATTTTGTAACATATTATTTATGTATTAAGAGGCTAAATGACCACACGGTCAAATGCCATAAATAAATAAAAAATAAAAAAAAAAAAACTTATGTCGGCCTTCTTATTAAAATCATATTTTTATTGCCTTCACTTTTCGAACTTTTTATCTTATATTACATATTTACATTTATTTCATATTTCCAACTCGATCATGGTGAGAGTGCAGTGTGAGAGAAATCCCTTTGACACTTCGCGCGGCTGTGCCCGACAGAGCGATTTTCAATTCGAAACTTACATATTTTTTATCTATATTTTCAAATAAAAAGAAATTTCACTGATGCATAATATCAGGTTATATGAAAAGCAGATTTCTACCTGGTTCCACGTGGCTATGAAGACGAGTGCTCAGAGTTATTAATAACTGATTAATTAGTATATTTGTAATACTAACTGACTGAAGATTATTAAACTATTTTATTGTAATCTTTTCGGCGTTTACAATGATAAAAATTTTTGAGAATTTGAATTTTTTGCAACTTGGAATTTTTCTAAACAATTTTCAAGATTATTAAATTTTCTGTAAATGCATTCTTTGCATAACAGTGTAAGTCAAAGTAATCACAAAAAAAAATCGAAAATGAAAATTTTTACAGATTCTTTACGTTTCAAAAGTTTCTGAATTTTGGCATACCTTACAATTAGAGAATGTATGTGCGTGTGTGTGTATGTGTGTGCGTGTGTGTATGTGTGTGCGTGTGTGTGCGTGTGTGTGCGAATACAACTTTTCGTCGGCCATTTCCGGGAACACGGATCGAACGATTTGAATAATTCAATAAACATTCGATTCATATTGATAGAAGGCAGGTCTAGCCGTCAAAAAGAGCCAAAAATGGTGATTTTGTTTCTGAGAGAACGGAGTGTCTGATTTGAATAATTCAAAAAACATTTTATTTGTATTCACAAAATGAAGTACCGATTAAATTTTTTGAAGGCAAGTCTAACGGTTTCAGAGATCGAGTGAAAAAAGAAAAAAAATGCCATTTGGCCGTCAAAAATGATCATTAGACATATGCACATCAAATTATCAGATATTTTATAGAGACTTTAATAATAAATGTGAATTTAGTTTACATTTATATAGGTTCAGAACCTATGTTTAACCATTAGACTGCGATGCGGTGCTTACGCGCTTCGATATTTTTTCTCAGAAACAGCCACACAGCACGATTACTTTGAAAAAAAGTTTCAGAAAAACTCAAATAATAAAAAAAACGAAATGTAAAAAAAATAAAAAAATTCAAAGATTTTCAAAAAAATTTAAATTCTCAAAAATCTTCATTCATTATAATATGAAATAAAGTGCGCAGACTAGAATATTTTCCGTGTTGTTTTAATTAAGTTTTAATTATTAATTTTAAGAAAAAAGCATGTTTATACAAATTTAGAATTCCAATTTTAATCTTATTTCTAAAATTATTAAAATAGCGACAAGCTCTCTGCCTAATATAAGCGGCTAGATTGAAATTTGCGAGGAGATCAGAGAAAAACCTTAGATAGTAATTTTCCAGTCAAATCCTCCTCCTTGCAGCACTAATTACACTAATGGAAGGAAGTAATTGCATATGCCGTTTCACTTACCAATCAAAACGATGATCAAGTACACCATGATGAGATTTATGTACATTTTAATGAGATACTTGATTGGAACTTATTTTTTAATGAAAACATTTACCACAGATTAACTCAATCTAGTCACACTACAGGCCATTAAAACTTTTGCCCAACAATTCATGCAGAACAAATATATGCAATATATATAATGATTGTGTGCTGATTTTTTTCAAATGCGTTATACAATAAATATATCATATATAATGTAATGAACGCGATGATTTGACACTAATCATACCAAGACGGGTCAAATGACCCGTTTTGAACCTTGAATAGCAAAAACGCCTATATTTTTATTGTTTCTGCAATTTAAAAATCTAGTACTATCGATATTTATAATTCCTTATTAATTGCATTAAAAGTCCATATTTAAATTTTATTTTACGACTTTATATAAGAAGGCATTTATAAATGATTTTATAATCGCAAAAATTGATGAAAACAACAGCTTCCAAAACAAACAAAAAATTTTGTAGATACATGTTAAATGATATTCATTGCATACTTGAAGGAATAAATTGCAAACGTTAAGTCAAAAATTCAAAATAGTAGTTTTAAAATATGCTTTAGTGTAGAAATATTTTACCAGCATTACTTTAATTATATCTATTGTAATGACAAATATGATTTATTTTGATTCATGTTTTTTTTTCAAAGTAGTTTTAAATGACTAATCATACATTTACGCAAAATTTTTATTGAGACGTCAGTATTGAGACATAAGCAAAATCCATTTAGAAGAAAAATATATTTTTATACGCCAATAAAATAGCATGAAAAAGACCGCACGAAAACAAGATCAATCAAACAAAACAATTCGCACGAAATGCTCATCAGAACCAGTGGTGTATGGCATCGTGTTTAATGCCAAATCGCTGGAAGTTCTCCCCGTATCGTAATTTAAAAATTTTAAATGCATTAAAATATTTCAAAAACTTTACAAGAATAAACTGTATTTCTGAAAATTTTTATTTGAAAAGATTTGAAAAAAAAACGATCTAAGAAAATTCAGTTTTTTTTTAAATTGTTTTTTAAATATTGAAACCCATTTAAGTTTAAAGAATCATGCAAATCGAAAGCATTTGTTTGAACTATATAAATGAAACGTAAGTCTTGGTACAGAACCCATAGAAATAAAAACAAATATTTTACTTTTTAATAAAATTTCAATAAAATATCTGATAATTTAATGTGCATATGTCTAATATTCATTGTTCGCAAGAACATACAGAATATATCAATAAAATTGCTCGTCTCTGCCAACACCTATGACATATACTAATTAAATTTATTTAATTATATAAACTAATTTAATTTGGAGTTAGCAATTTCTAGTTATTTATTATTACAATTTTATTTAAAAGTTCTTTTGGTGCTATTTTGAGGAATACGCAATGAAATAAGTAGATAAAAACAAAATTAAAAGTACCATGATTACTGACTAATACAGTTTCGAAATAATTATATTTACTGTCTAAAAGTAATAAAATCAAAGCACCGTCATGACCATGTTTGAAAACACATCTTTATCCCAAATTCTCGATTCAACACGATTGTAAGTAAATATTGTTGTAATCTGCATCTTAACCATCTAAAAAATAAAATTAGAACGAGTTTGTGTAAACATATGTTAAGTAATTTACCTTGGTCTGCAATGAACGCTTTATGGTCGGCTTAATTGCAAGTCCTGATATGCACACTTTTCACACATACATATTTCAAATAGATCTACATTAAATCTCTTACACATTATATCACATTAATCTACTAATTATTACTTCTTTATATTTGTCTAATATTAAATATAAATCACATACACAAAGTAACGAAATAGTTAATATTACGCAATAAAGTTAAAAACGCAGGCTGCAGGTATACCCGCGCGACGACCTACACCAACGAGTTTGTATCGATACTACTGATCATCTGAATCTATAGCATTTTTCGATAAATATTTAAGTGTTGCCTGCTGTTAAGTGTTGATGAGTAGTTTAAAATTCCTCAAACGAGAAATTTGGTAATGTTGGACATGTTGAATACAAGACAGGTGGTAAGGTTGAAGGCCGCATGACATCAGGATCACATCGAATTGATAAAAATGTAAATATTGCATTTTGTGAAAATGATTCATTATGATACAATGAATGATGTTGTTCTTGGAACATTCGTGACTATACAATCAAGTATTAAAAATGTTTGAATAATTGAATTTCTGAACAAAATATTTTAAAATCTTTAAGAATTTGCGACACATGCTCGGCCATGAGGTCCTTCAATGATTTATAAATTCCCCATATATATGGAGGTTTAATATATTTAATAGCAAGTTAAAGCGTTTTTATACAGATATTTATTTAATCCAAAAACTTCGCTTTGTTGAATTTTTTTAATAGATCTATACGTTGATTTTTTTTTAATACACTAATAATAACTCAGTAGTACAAAAACTACAAACAATGAACAAAAGACGTGTAACATTTTTTTTATTTCATTTAATTATAGCAATAAGAGTCAAAATAACTGAGTTACAGAGCTGATATAATAAGGAAACTATAATTGAAATAACATAGAAAAATAAAAATAACTAGGGGTGTATGGCATCGTGCCTTAAGGCAAATTGCTGGCACTTCCGGTACCGTAACAAAAACGTTCGAGGAATATTAAAAGTTTTCAAATAGATTATTAAAAAATTCTGTAACATTGTCCAATATTTATAAGAAGTGTATAAACTGAATCACATAGTGGAAGTTTTAGCCAGAAATTAAGAGCTTTAAAATTTTAGCCAGAATTAAAATTTAAATCTGAATTATGTTTGATAAAAAAAAATAAATAACATTTTTTTCAAAAGCAATTGTTTCGTCAACACAAGCAGAAAGTTTTTTGAATAATTGAAATCGGATGTTTATTTCTCTTAAAAACCGCCATTTTTTGTACATTTAGCTCTGCATCTTGGAAATGTCTGGACCTGCCTTTGCCAAAAACTAATAACCACTTCTCCCAATCATTACAAATTGAATGTTTTTTTGATCATTCAAATAGATTATTAAATCAGATGCTTCGTTCTTTCAAAAACTCGATATCTATTTTCTGCACTCTTTTGCTCTTTATCTCCGTAACGGCTGGACCTGCCTTTGCCAAAAACTAATCAGCACATCTCCCTATCAATAGGATTCGAATGTTTTTTGAACCATTCTAATGGGTTGATCCGTGCGCCCGAAAACGTGAACGAAAAAATGCGGACACACAAAACACACACACACACATCCATAATAGCAATTACAGATCATTGCAATAATTAATAATCATATTTGTAAATGAAATTCATAATTATTTTGAAATGAAATTAAAATTGAATATAAACAGCCAGTTTGAGTTTTGAATAAAACTGACACTGTCAATAAACTAGTGGTGCTTGGCATTGTGACTTATCCCTCTAAAACGTAAAGATATGCAAAAAATTTCTTTTTTTTTTACTACAACTTACTCTATGAGAAGTTAAAAAAGCAATTTTACAAGAGATAAGTTAAATAAATAGTAATTCCATTTCGGCTGATGATTATTTCTGACGGGTTATCTCTGTAAAAATCTTCATGATATAAAAATAAGATATTGGACCTGTTTGTCCCATTTTTCCCCGCCTAAGGAGCACATATGACCAGGTGACAAATTTTTGAAAAACAGCAAAAAAATCACATTTTTACAATGATGTATTAGCTGCGAGTTTTACTGAACATAGTCAGATAGCTGTTTGTTTGATATATGATATTTATTGTGATTTAATTTGTTTGGTTTTCACAATATAATTGCTCTAGCAGGTAAGTCAAAATGAACATTTGTGCGACACCCTACCCTATAAATTCCTTTTTAAACTAACGTTTAAATGTTGGATATGCCATGTGCATTATGCGATAACGCTTGTTTGCTGCATTTGCTATTATTTCCAGAAACATAACAAATATTTGCGGAATAGGAACGTATATCATTAAAAGTTTCCAACAGTCATATAGTAAACAAGCGCGTATAAAAAGTTTATTAACAATATTATCAAACTATTTTCATCAAGCAAACTAAGTTATGATATCATCAGGCATGATTCCAAAAATATTTGACATGAAAACAAATATAACAATCTACAGTTTTCATATATCGTGCATAAGATATATTCCGAGTTTATGTAAACTGTGAAATGCGAACACAATCACATTAAAGTGCTTTTTAATTACATTATTAAATAAAACGCGGAAACATGATAGACTACTTAACAACTGAACAGTCGTTTACCAAAAAATTAATTTTAGTAATGTAATAATGGTTATAAATTTGCATAATTCAAATTACATTTTGATCTAATAAACGTTGAATGGCGTTTTACTCAAAATGAGACTTTGAGTTTAATTGCCAAATAATATTGAACATGCATTTGTTAATAGTGCAGGATTATAATTTATGGCATAAAGTACTTATTAATAATTAATAAAAACGATTTCGTAATCATATATATATATATATATATATATATATATATATAATGTGGGTGTGTGTTTGTGACAAAATTATTACTAGTAATTTTCTGAAACTGAATCATAAATCAAAAACATTAATGGTAGGTACAGGATTATAATTTATGGAATAGAGTACTAATTAATAAACAGGGCCTCGTTGATAATAATCACTGCATAAATGTATATTCATATATATATATACATTCATATATCATATATACATAGATAAGTGCGAGCAAGTGCTTTGTTGACTTTAAGCTATAATACGCTTACATTGTTAGTAAGAATCTTATAGCAATACAAACATAGATACACACACGCAGATAATTACATTTATATACTGTGTGTGTATGGTTTGCATTACCAAACAGGAATTTCATATAAAGAATTAATAAGTTTTACAAAAAACCTTGTTTAGCCATGACTAGTTTTCAAAAACAACTTTTAGTATAAAAATAACTAACAATAAGTGCTTGCGAATGTGGTATATAAGTAAAAGACTCAGCTAACACAAAATATATGACTAGTTTACCCACTGCAAAGCATGTCACATATAACGGCGTCTGAGTCACTGCGAGTACCAACCTAATCTAAAAGTGATTTCATTTAAATAGAACTGACAGGTTTGAAGATTCAAGGTTCTGATATATTATTATCGCGCTTTTCATTAATTCATTAATTTTTAAATTACTTAGCAAAATCAAATACTATGCCCAGCAAATCTGTGATTTCAATAATTCTGTGGAAAAATTCACAGCATTACCATAAATGTATGGTACCTAGTTACCTCTCAAAAATTGTTGTTTCTTCAGATTTTAATACTCAATCTTTAAATTTTTTTGCTAAAATTTCTTTTTATGCAAACTATTCATGAACTATGTACTATTTACATTGGTAAATATTTGTATAATGGGATAATGAAAAAGGTGAGCAACCCTTGATCAAAATTAATTGTTTTTTGAAGTAAAATTTTTGCTTTTTCTATGCTTAAAAATATCTGTATTTAAATTTAGTAAAAAAAACATTCAGGTAAAAAATTCTTCGATTACTAAAATGATTATTATGAAATAGAGATTTGTGCAAAGAGGATGAAAATTTAAATTTGCATGTGTTTTTTAATTCCCTATTATACAAATAAGTATTAAAAAATAATTGGTCCATAAATTTAAAAAAAAAGTTTTACTTTTGGCGAGTGAACTAGTTTACAAAGTAAATAGGAATATTGTTACATAGAGCAGTGTTACTTTGTTTACCAACTTACTTATTTTTTGTATTTATCTTAATTATATTTACTTATATTTTTCAGCCAACCTGAAAACTTTCTAGGACTACACATATTAACCAAATTTTAAATAAAATAAACACTTATTAGATATTTATTAAAAATAAGAGCTCAGTTTTCTAATGATTAAAAATGTTTTTATTTGTAAATGCTACTTATGTACGTACGTTGGCTTACATATGATCGATTATGCTAAGATTGTGAATTATTTTACACAGTTATTTAATACTAAATTTGTAAAGCCATATATATAATATATATATATATATATATATATATGTACAGGGGTCTCAGACCTTGACGGGGTGATAGTATTGAACCATAACTGACCTAAAAAAAAAAAAAAACTTCATGTGTTTATATGAGCCTCGGACATTGTAGCTATTACAAGTTTGCAGAAATACTTTAACTTTCTCTATATTTTTGTCAAACTAAATTCTCAATATTTTTTCTATTTATGTGAAAGGTAAAAAAATCATAATTATTGACAAGTTAGTTATATCTATGCAAGTGCTAGTTTTTGCGCTGTGTACACATTTTTAGATGTAGAGCAAGTTGAATATCCATTGATGATGACATCAAATTGTATGCCGAAACGTTTGGAATTAAAGATTAATTAATAAATCTGTGTTTTTTTCCTTGATGTATAATAGCCATAAACCAACTTACTCACATATATAATACTGATTGTATATGCATATGCCCCTATATATCAGCACCGTTTTATCTCTAGCATATCGATAACTTTATCTATAATATCTCATATCGCTTTTTCAGCTCCTCGTAAGAAAGAAGCGCCTGAACAAACACTCTCGTGCGTCGGCATTCGCAAACGATTTTCGAATATCGTTGTATAAGTTTACACATGTATATGAAATATTCATAATCTATGTATGAGCTTTAAGGAGCAAATGGTGAAGTGTGAAAGAAAAATCCGTTCGAAAGAAGATATACACCTTACCGGAACTAGAAAAGGGTTACGCGATTTAGATAAGCGAGTAGAACATTTCTAAATAAGTATCGCAATCTAGCATCGAGGGTAGTCGATTGATAGATACTTCATACCATCGGGTATTCGCGGAAGGTGGTGATTGATGGACATTTTTGCCGGAGTACC